GAGGCCCTTCGCGTCCGAGTCAGACTCGGAACTCTACGAGCCCCGCAGGCACCACGCAGCAGAACAGCGCAATCCCCATTTTTTTCCGGACGTTCATCGTCCCACGAATGACCGTCGCCGATGAAGATGCCGATACATACACGGTCGTGACCAGCCCTTTTCGCCCCTCCTTAACTAAGTCCTCTTCTCGCCCCTGGTACTTCAGCTAATTTCGTGTTGTCCCTAGAACCTCGACACAAGAGATCCCAGTTCTGATCTGGGACTCTAACCCCCACTTTCCAAAAATCCTTGGCACACCCCCTACTTCGCACATCCGGGCCTACTCCCACTCCGATCAGGAAGTCGTGCTAGGCGTGAAGTTTGGCATCACAAGCACACCTAGTACCCAAATGGGAATATTTTGGACCATTATTACCCAGCCAGAATACTTGGGGTGCGACTAAGCCAATAGGGCTTCCGAGGTCATATCTACCAATTATCCCTTTTACCACCATTGTTCGCCTCTACCTACAAATTTGAGTGAAACATGGCCGGCTTGAAGGTCATGTGATTCGAGAAGTCAACATTGTCAGCATGAGTTGCCATAACAATGGGCAATCCTGGACCAGCCTTGTATCCTATAAATAGTAAATACATCCCTTCTAGACCTCTGGATGATGCACATATCTCCTCTATACTTAGTAATTACCACTGTTATTTGAGTGGTAAGAAGACCAACTAATGAAGCATTCACTGTTTCTTTTCTAGGCACACATGACGTACATGTGGTGATCGGCAATGAGCGCCAGTCACAAAGAAGACCAGGGCGTGATGGGTGCCAGGCCTATCGTGCAGTCGATTGCTCAAAACCAGTCCAGCCGTATGAAGGGAATGGGTCATACCCGCCGATTTCCGAGAGCTAAGGTCATCGTGCAAGGAATACGAGCAAGAGCGATAAACAGAAAACCAAGTTGCACAATCACACAGAGATCCAGAGAGTCGTGTACACAGCAGAGAGCTCAAATGCACCAAGATTCCATCCAAATATTAAAAGCGATACAACGACCTCATGAGCCAATGTTCAAGCCCTCAGGCCACACCAACACAGTATCCAATGTCGCTCCTGGCGTCCAGCCCCCAGCCTACTCTACTCTGCCTATCTATCCTATCTACATTCGTGCAACAGGCTCACTTTGATGCCGAAGACCAATGTACATGACGTCAACACCAATGCCGACCTCCCACATACACCAGGTACGTTCTGTCCTCTCCCCTCATCACCCCTTGGACCCCACACCTCATGCGCCTCCTACCCGAAGACCACCTTCGCCATCACCCGCTTATGCGCCCCTGCAGCCCGGCTATGGCTGCTGTGCGCCCCGCTACCCTTGCAGCGCTCCTCACCTCAACGCCCGTGCTCGCGCCCTGCCAGCCAGCTAACACAGATGCCAGCGCTGTAGCGCAGCGGCGTATCCGCATTGCCTGCTAACGCCTCACTGGCTTTCCCTCACTGCCCTTCTACCTATATGGGAGTCGCCTCCTCTGCTTGCCTCCCTGGGCCTGCCCGATGAAGTTTCCAGTAGCTTCCGGTCGGGCCACAGTGTCTGCGCCCAGTCCCGAGTCTTACATTTGGGGGCCTGGGCCCTTTGCAGTTAGGCACACCCAGCATTTCCCAGCCTCTGAGTGTTTGCTGTGTTTGCATTGGCCTGCCGGTAGGTGTAGCGACAATGCTGCATACTCACTGGCCCGCGGCCACTTTGTGCTGTGTCGGCCTCACGCTGCGCTCAGGGCGCAACTATCTGCGTCCTGGGCTTGACGCAGCAGCTGCTTCCGGACAGAGCCCAGGGTGAGGCCCAGATTGCACTTCAACCAACTGTTGTGCAGCAACTGTCTAACACCCACATTGGAAACTGCTGAGATAAGGGCCTCTCGTGGATATTCAGGCCCACCTTCACTTAGGGCGGGCACGAGGCTTAATTGGGGCCAGAGTCCAGAAAATATGCAGGTTGTCTAGGGCCCCTAGAGGACACATTCCTCACAATCGAGTGGGTTGTCTATATAGTGCGCAGCTTCTTTTTTTTTTTTTTTTAATACGAAAAGCACACGCTGCCTCCGTTAGGGGTGTTGATGAGAGCATCCACCCCTAACAGCGAAACCTGTGACTCCAGTCTATTGGTGGGGAGTAGCGCCTGCTTGAAACCGGGTCCAGCGTCCCTGATGAATACAGAAACATAACTGTTACACCTGCTAGAGCCCGGGTCCAGCGTCCCTGATGAATACAGATGAATCATTAGGGTTTCTTGTGTTGTTGGTTGCTGATTGGCAGGCAGGAGGTCAAGCCTTCCCTGTTTTGGGGGAAGTAATCAATGCCTCCGGCTGCATAGGGAGATAGTACTTGGTTAACATCACATTAGGGAACAACCCACACAGAAGACAGTGAGTGTTCGCACGGCATACATATGTTTTTACACAACTAGTACAAAACTTTGGAGATATACAGGGATGCTGGACCCGATTTCCAGCAGGTGCTGCTCCCCCGCCAATAGATGGAGCCTTCAATATCGGGACCTTCTAAAGGGGAATGCTCGTATCACCCCATTAAGCAGCCCCCCTGGTGCATGAAGTTCACCAAAAAAAGAAAAAGAAAAGGAAAAAGATGTATGCTACCTCTTCAGACCAAGATGATCCGCCAGTGGGCTGCTGCAATTGCTCCTGGGAAATTCTCCCAGGCTGCTGCCGATGGTACTGACTACCGGATGGGTCTGCTTTCGTTTTTGTCCCACTCCGGAGAATTAGGAACTGTTGGTCGGGGATTCGAGCCCTTGATCCCTCACTGATCCAAGTTATGCACAGAGTCCACTGCACCTACAGGGCAGTGAGTTTTTTTGCCATGAAAGCAGGATATTTATCTTTCTTCTTTTCTTTTTTCTTTCTTCTTTTTTTCTGAGAACTGGGCCCGGCGTCCCTTATATTACAACACCAGGAATCGGGCCTGGCATCCCTCACAAAAGGTTTATGGTCCTTCGGGACATCCGTTAAAATTGGAACGATACAGAGAAGATTAGCATGGCCCCTGCGCAAGGATGACACGCATAAGTCGAGAAATGGTCCAAAAAAAAAAAAAAAAAGTTTTATGGTCCTGTTTAAGGGCGAGACATCATCGGGCGAGCCCAAAGACAGGAACACTACACACCATCCTCCATGTCGAAAAGTCAGAAAAAAAAAAAAACCAGAACTGTCAACAAACACTGCGCTGTCATTTTTATGTCCCCTCAGTCATCCAATATCACCACCCAGCCCAGCCAGCTCGCTCTGCCACCCCCGCGACAGGGGTCTGTGCCCACAAGCCCCATTGGCAAGTCTAAGCAGACTCGGAGACCCCGCAAAACCCACCCACCTCCTCACGATTCAGAGCAAATAGCACCTCCCCTAGACATTCCGTTCCCCAAAAAAACAACTCCCACCACGAAGCTGCTTTTGCAAACTAGGAGATTACCCTAACTCCCGAGGAAGGGGCTGAAAAGCCCCGCAAAACCCACCCACCTCCTCGCAACTTCGGGTAAACCCCTCCCTTCATTTCTGTGACTACTCTCTAACGGATGCTTCCCCTCCCAGAGGCTCCCTCCATGACGAAGCCCCTGCGGAGCCACACTCACCATTCTATCTCATAGATTGCAGATGATGACGGATCATCGAGCCTTTTGAGATGAAATGAATGCAAATCCCAATTCTTCATTCCAACAGTATTACCCTACCTCCGGCGCGGCAGGGGCCGAAGGCCCGCAAACTGATCCACCTCCTCGCGATTTAGGGTAAACCCCTTCCTCTAATCTGCACCATCTCCTGATGAATCCCCACCACGGCGACGGCCACCATGATGGGGCTTCTGCAAAGCGGCACTCACTCTCTGTTAATTCCATCTCTTGCAAGACGCCAAAAAGAAGGTATTCGATCAAAATCGGAATTTTAATGGCAGCTATAACCAACTGACGAGAATTATGAAAACCATAGACGTCCCCCGTAAAACAGCGAGCAAAACCATGAGTCACACCACTCAGTAAAACTGTGTACGATCTATAACCAAAACGACGAGAACGAAGACCAGTAAGAAAGGAGCTACAAAAAAGCAAAAACCTATGGTCGTTTGCAACCACCAATCCCAACCACAGTGACCGTAATCTAATATCACAGTTCACAGTGCAAGCGCTCAAACATACCCCTATATCACTCTCTCTCTCTCTCTCTCTCTCTCTCTCTCTCTCTCTCTCTCTCTCTCTCTCTCTCTNAGAAAGTTGGTCGAATTACTCACACCAACCCTGCAATCCTAGCAGGCTGTCCAGTTAGACCCCTGACAACAACGACAGAAAGACAGAAAAACAATGAGATCGCGGGCGATTACACACAAACACATACACACACACACACACAGAGAGAGAGAGAGAGAGAGAGAGAGAGAGAGAGAGAGAGAGAGAGAGAGAGAGAGAGAGAGAAGACGAGGGATTAGACGGATTAGACACAGAAGGGGAGGAAGATAAAATAGCGGAAGGAAGATGAAGGAAGAAGAAGGAAGAAGAAGGAAGAAGAAGGAAGAGGAAGGAAGGAGACAGAAGGAAGAAGAAAGACGAAGGAAGGAGGAAGACAAAGAAAAAGGGAGGAAAAGGAAAGAAGTAGACCGAAGGAAGAAGAAAAAAGAAGAAAGAAGGAGGAGGAGGAAGGAAGGCGACGGAATGGGGAAGGATGAGGAGGAGCGAGAGAAGGAAGAGGGGGAAAGAAGCAAAGGAAGTGGAAGGAGGAGACGAAGGCACAAGGACTTGAAGGCCGAAGAAGGAAGAAGAGGGCAGAAAAGAAAAGCGGATGAACATGGAAGAGGAAAAGGAAGGAATCAGGAGGAACAAGAAGGAGGAACGCTGAGGAAGAAAGAGGAACAAGAATGGAGGGAGGGAAGAACGAGAAGGAAGGAGGAATGAGAGGGAAGGCAGAGACGAGGAAGAAAAGGAAGGAAGGACGGAAAGAAGAAGAGGAAGAAAATGAACATATCATCTCCATGAGGGGAAAAAAACTACTGTGCAGATGATGTTGATGACGTTCATCACAACTGGATTTCACTGCTTACTGACGTGACGACATATCGAGCTCGATCAAGTTGCAATGCAAAATCACTGCAGCTATTCTCTGCCACGAATCTGGCTGCAAACGGTTCCGGAGCGCGACTGCGACCGGGGCGAGCCATTTTGCAATCTCCCGCATCTCTTCCTTCCTCAGATCCTCGTGAACGACGTCCACGGAGCTCTGCGCATCCGAAAAGCCAGGCCGACGGCAAATGCTCATGACGCCACCACGTTCCAAAGGGGCGTCTTCTCCGAGACGCGAATCTGGCTGTGAACGAGCATCGTACCTTCGGACCTGCCGACACCGCTGGTCTTGTCGGCTGTACTGCTGAGAGCATGTCAGTGTTGCGCCCGTTAACAGCGTTGCAATCGGTGCGACTGGCGAACCTCCTCCAGCGAATGAAGCCTCCAACAGTCCGGCGAGCTTAGAAAGCGCTAGCTGCCCAGCCGTCTGCCATTCCTCGTGTCCTAGCAGCTCTGCGAAGGTGAGCGGTAGCAGCTTCAGAGCTTCTGTGGGCTCTGACGTCAGAACTGCACAGTGGTTCGACCAGCTGCTCACCAAGAGAGCGAGGAGCTGGATCACCTGCGCCACGAGCAGAGTGCAGACATGAGTCCTAAAGGACCATGTAAACCCCCGGAAGGAAAACAGAAAAAAAAGGAAAGAAAGAGAAAGAAGGATGTGGTGCTTTGTCGTTTGGGACATCCATCAACGTTGGAGCGATATAAAGAAGATTAGCATGGCCCCTGCGCAAGGGATGACTCGCCTAAGTCGCGAAATGACTCAAATCTAGATGTGTATAAGAGACAGCATACCCCTATATCACTCTCTCTCTCTCTCTCTCTCTCTCTCTCTCTCTCTCTCTCTCTCTCTCTCTCTCTCTCTCTCTCTCTCTCTCTCTCTCTCATACACTGTCCCTCAAAATTTCAACCGATACAAAAGGAATTTAGGAAAATGAACATATCTGTCAAAACGGGAAAAGAGTGAGCAGTAAAAACAAACAGTACAGTCACCAATTTTGTCGTGCAATGCGGCAACAAGATCGAAGGCTTATTCAAAAAAAAAAAAAAAAAAAAAAAAGATCGAAGGCTTCATCGTTGCAATAGGAGATAAGGAGGCCAAAAGCGCGTCGCTCAATGCAAACCGTTGCACTACTAACGAAGCTCGCTCGTCAAAAGGCCGACCCTAAACAACGACTGACCCTAAACAACTTTCATCCGCCCTGTACCTTCTATCAGATTCATTCAGAAGAATCTCGGTAAAAGACTGCTCTAATAGGACGTCGCCCACGGGCTGCCAGCAGTGTTCGAGACAGAAGTTTGACCGTGCCAATAGTCGAGTCTCCATCGTTGAGGTCAGTTGACTTCATTTGATGATCCGTCGATACTGTCGAGGGCCGACCCCAACTCATTGTCATGACCAGGATATCCGACGGCACCTCTGTATCATGGACCAGGCGGCAAGCCCCCTGATGACGCCTAACAGTTTTGCTTTGACGTCTGAATTCTGTCTGTCAGCCGCCCGCATGCCTCGAACTTCCTCCCACGGCTTAACGGAATTACTGAGGTCAGCCGAAACCAGTGACGCCATGAGGCCGGTCAAGGCCTCAACGGCATGTTCCCTCCTTCGCCCAAACGCCCGCCCAGTCACGCCCTAGCCATGACGGCAACAGGTTCTAGCAGCGCAGGTCAACTGTCATCGTTAACCTAACAGCTCGATTTCCCAGCGCTCAAACGTCGCAAGAGAACGACGCGTTTGTGCTGCCGTTACTGCAGTGTAACGCGAAGTACACACATAGACATACAAAGAGCGTGCACTGCCGGCACGTGCGCACACCCACATAGACACTCACACACACACACACACACACACACAAACACACACACAAACCATACACACACTGATGTAGGGGATCATTAGCAAGTAGTATATATTCAGCCTCCTGATGAGTCGGTGAAACTCCGACGAAACAGTTTGTCACAGCCCCTCGTTTGTTGTCCTCTTCTCCCTCTCTGCCTACGGTTTACCGGGCAGT